AATTATGTTGGTAAATGACTTTTCTTTTGACCAATTTAAAAATCTCTGTCATCAATGTTGGGATAAAACTAAATTTGGCTTTTTCTCAATAGACAAAGAAAGATCAAAGAATAATGGCAAATATAGATTTATGTTTGACCAATTCTACCAAGAGGATGGTAAGGGTAAATAGATGAAAGACTAAAGTTTTTTAATATTTGCATTTATTTTGCAGCATTGAATATATCTACACATACAATTTATTGAACCTAACTATGTCTGATCAATTTTATAATGACCAAGAGCAAGAGTATTGATGCCATCTTCCAGAATAAACCTCTTGTCATCGTCAAATGATAGTACATTCTTGTTCATGGTTAAGGTTTGAAGATGATGGTTTGTAGATTTAATTCTTGTCACATTCTCATAGTAATCTTGCCCAGTTGCAAGACAGTTCAAATAATAATGATGTCTAAGGAGATCATTATTAGCTCCTTTAGCTCCTTTAGCTTTCTTCATCTCTAAAGCTTGCTTGTCTTCTTCATATAACCATTTTAGAGGAATATAAGAATGTAACTTTGGTCTTAAACCACAATATTCATACATAATATGGCCATCTAATTGGTCTTTAAACTTGCCAGTAACTTTTTAATTTTTATCAGCGTATAAAAAATGGTCTTTACTATACCCAGAGGTATCAAAATAGTGCAAGTCACATTCTATTTCTTTGTTAAAAGTCCTCTGTAACTATAGAATACATTAAAGAATCTGTATGTGCCATAAGAAATCTTTTGTTCTTAAATTTTGACATATAATTATAGTGGAAATCATACATTATTACTTTACTAATATCCAAAATGGTCATTCCCAAATATATCGGTTTATTAAACTTTACAACTAATTTATTTAAATGTATAGCATGTAAATTGTTATCAAACTTTTTGCTACAATCAAACCTTGGATTAGTGACATATTTTGTTAATAGTGACTCATCCTTGAGATATATATCACGAAACTTGCGTTGATTCATAATTGTTCGACCAAAGAGACTGTTATTTAACAATTTGTAAAAGTCTTTTTCAAAATCATTTTTAACCCATTTTCGTTTTTCAATATTAAAATTAATATAGGGTGCAAGCCATTTTGATTGTCTAAATTTTAAAATTCTATGGTATTTTTTAACAACCAAACCTAATTCCTCATATTTTTGTAATGCTTTATAATGTAAAATATATTTAGTTTTGTCATTTAAATTAGGTATTAATTTGCCATTCATTTTCTCTGGTGCTAATGGATAGTCATCATGTAAATCATGTATTTTATCATATTTTAAATCAACTTCTAAAATGTATCCAAACTCATCATTTTGATTATTTTTGTAGTCTATCTCATTAGTCCAACGAAATCCATCCACAGGCAGTGGCTCACACATTGCTGTGGAATATAGTGAGTTACAATCTAAATATATTAAATATACACTCTCTTGATTGGGGTCATAGTGTTCACCCATATATTTATTATTGGCTCTAGCGTAACGTGTAGAAATCATACTGACTCCTCCTCTGATTGCACTTTCAATGAACAAACGCATGTCAATATCTTGAAATAATTGTAATTGTATACCAGTCATTCTAAGACAGGCCTCCCATGTTAGTCCTGGAAGTGAATACATATGTACGGGGTCAAGTTTATAATCCTTTAAACACAGGTCTCTAAATGTCTCGAATACATCAGCCAGTAGCAATACATCCGTTTTAAGATATAAATCATGATATTCTTGCAAATTCTGTATATTAAAATGGGTCCATACATGTTTTGCATGTTCATATTCGTTGGGAGAAATATGTTATTTAGTTAGAGTACTATAAACTGCTTCTTTTGGAGGGAGAGACTCTGCAAACTTATCTGGTCCCGTCATATATTCATAGGGAAATACACCTTTGCGTTGTAGTAGTGGATTGTCAATGAATCTAAATGTATTTAAATTGGAAGCTAATTTGTATAATGGAAGGGACAGAAAGTTATAGGAATCTAAAAATATTAAATCATCAACAGAGAATGAAATGTACTTTTCCATATCTTTGGCTATGCAATTTAATTTACGACCAAACTTTGCAAACTTTCCCAAGTGTTGCATTATTAAATGACCCTCATAATTTTTTAAGTTATAGAAGAATACTGGGATTTTCTTTGTTACTTTATAGTTTAAATTACAATCATTGTGGGCAGCTCCACGGTATCGGCCAGATGAATGACAGTGATCACGTACCCTATCAAAATATAAGGGCTTTTCGCAAATGTGACAGTGTGTTGAGTTTTGGAAAGATACCTCTTGCTCTGGAGTCATTTCAAGAGGAATATATATCGACATTTGACTTTTAATGAAGTCATAAGTCTCAAACAACCGTTTGAAAAACGCATCCATAAAATGTTCACCACTATATAACTCTTCAGAAATAATCTTAGACTCTTTCACTACAAATGCAAATCCAGATGGAGTATGGTTGTTTGAGTTTATATAGCATTCAAAGTCTGCATAAATTACAAATGGGGCTTTAAGTTAATATTTATAGTTTTTAAATTGTAATGTATCTTGTTTAGACATTTCCACTCGTTGGGCATCAAAGTTTTTACAATACATTATGTGACGTTCTAATTTATCATTAGTGTAAAAATGTTGTAAACACAACTTACAAAAATACTTCTTGTGGTCTTGTTTTGTTGACCGTAGCATTAATCTATCAAAATCACGAATTAAACAGTAATGTGATTTACGACCTTGTTGTAATAGTAATAAATCTATGTGAGTACTACTATTCAATTTGGTTGTTCTTAATGGATATATACATTTCTCATCTTCAACCCCAAATACATTAACACTTATATTATTTTGTCTTTCAAATTTATCTATATCAGATATATTCACGGGATACTTTATGTTTGTCATATTCAGCTGACTTTCATGTGGTACATAATTGGAGACTCTATTAGGATTTTTATTTTTAGCATTCCTTGGATATAAAGCTGCTATTATCGACCAAAAGAAGCATTTATTATCAGAATGTTTTATATTTAACACTGCATAATTCGATTTAATACTCTCTGGTGTAGGGATATATGACTTTGGAGTTAGGGGCTTATACTTGTAAACATGTAACTGCTAATATTTAGTATGGTCATAAATCCATCCACTGCCTTGGGCTTGATTTTTGTGCATGGATGCATCAATCTTTAAAAGTGCATTTTCAATTTGAGGCTTTAAATCTCTCTTCTCAATAGTTAAGGTAGTAAGGCTTCTAAAATCCGCAATACATTCTTTCTCATTAACTAATTTTCCATTTTGATCCATTGAATATTTCATAAATTTAATTCTCCTAATTAAAGTCCATTTTATCGGAAGAGGACAAGACTTTAGAGTATTTTCAAGGTCAGCTCTAATCGATTCACCGACAAATTTAATCATTGGATATGGACATTTGATGCAAGAGTTGGCGTGTCTTTTAAAATGTACAACAACATTCGTTTTACAGAAATTAAAAGTCTTGTGACTTTGTAATATATGTGATTTTAAAGCCACATTATTATCACAGATTAAATCGCAAACTTTGCACAGTTTCACCTTCATTTGATGTTTCAACTTGTAGTGTCGAATCAAGTTACTTTTGGTGGAGAGCGACACGGAGCAGTGTTGACATGACGGCTTCATTATAAGGTCTCGGGCTGATGTCACCTTTATTTATAGACTTTTCGAAATTTTCAAAAATTTTTAACCAGAAATTGTGAAATTTTCAAATTTTTTTACTAGAAATTAAAAAAAATCAAACAATTTAACTAGAAATTACTTCAACAGGAGGTCACCCACCCAGGACTTAATCAAGAGCTGCCACTAGAGACGAGAAAACCGACCATGAGTCGGGAGCGAGAAGCCTGCCCATGGGTCGGGAGCGCGACCGGGAGCACGCCATGAGCCGGGAGCGCGCTCGAGTTCGCGTGCAAACCTCACTCGATTTTGAGAATATACATGTGAATGGATGTGGATTTCAAATAGTAATAGAGTTGTACAATGGTATTGAACATTGTATAGGCTTGTATAGGCCGAGAGCTGGATTTTTAAAAAAGTGGTCAAAAAAAGCTCACCATGTTAATCTTATGGGAAAAACGTGCCTAAAGTGGCTTCATACCGCTATATTGCCACTACTTTACATTTACACCTGTAACGGTCAATAAATGTAAGAAATAGCTTTTTTAGCTTGATATCGAATATATTTATGGGGAATAAGTAAGAAATAAGGTTTGACAATTCTATAGGGATATGTGGGCAAAGATCAGGACTTTTGGAATTGGTGACCAAAAAATTATCACCATGTTATTCTTATGGGAAAAAACGCCCCAAGTGACGACTCTTTGTCCTATTGCCACTACTCCACTAATCCACGAAATTTCACTTCAAAACAAAACTACTGATCATAACCGATTCATCGTGAATATATTGCGTCTGCGTCTTGCCGATCCGTCGTCGACTCTTCGGCAGTGACAGTGGTGCTTGGGCTTGGAGGTGGCGCGCCGGCAAGCATGACTCATACTCATACGTCTTGTACAGCTAGCGTCAGCTAAGCTGGCTCATGGTGGCCTGTGGGCCTGGCGCGGCACCATAGGCGGGGGGAGGGTGGAAACTAGCTTAAGACCGTTCTGAGAACATCGGACTGTCAGACGTGAGGTCCCGCGTTCCGACCGGGCAACTCTGCGAACATCTCGGCTGACTCACGGTTTGACGTCCTAAACAAACTATGACTAATAGAGAGGGCGCTGTTATGACAAATCTTGCACGTTCCTAAGCACTGTGTCTACTCAGTAGTGAGTTTTGCTTGTGCAGTGTCACAGTGGATCGTGAAGTGGACTGTTTTCATAACGAAACGTGTGTGAGTTTTTTTGTCATGGCAGAATTTAAATCGAAAGTAGGGATTGGTGGTAAGGTTTTAAATAGTCAGAGTAGGGAAATCGTGGCAAATGTTTATACATTTATGAAAGAGGAGTGCAAGAGCGGCATTACAATACCACTACAGAAGGCGAGGGAGCGGACCGCAGCAGCAACCGGTGTATCTCAACGCTCTGTTACCCGGATAAACAGCGAACTAAACGCTTTAAAGGTGAGTGAGGATGATAATAAATCTTTTTTAACACCTCACAAAACAAAAAGGAAGAAAAAGCCGATTACTGGCCTAGACCATTTCGATGAATGTGTGGTTCGTAGGACTGTCTATGAATTTTACATAACAGAAAAAAGACTGCCGACGTCAAAACTGTTGCAGAATTCTCTTAAAGAAAAGTTGAACTTTCAGGGAAGTCAATCAAGTGTTCGGAGGATTTTGAAAAAATTAGGATTTTCCTGGAAAAGGACACAGAATAATCGGAGGATTCTAATTGAAAAATCTGAGATTAGGGAAAAGAGAATAACTTATCTCCAGTCACTCAAGCGATTCAGGTCGGAAGGGAGACCCATCGTGTACATGGATGAAAGTTACGTATGTTCAGATCACGTATCTGGGAAAATGTGGTCGGATGGATCAAATAATGTTTTGCATACGCCCGTGTCCAAAGGAGAAAGACTGATAATAGTTCACGCTGGAGGGGAACAGGGGTTCGTCCCAAACGCTTTGGCCATGTGGAAGGCAGGCCAAAAATCCGGCGACTACCACGACAACATGAACAACAAAAATTACATGCAATGGGTCATAAATCAACTGATACCAAACTTAAATCCTAACTCTGTATTGGTTATTGACAATGCGAAGTACCACAACAAGCAAATTGATAAGGCCCCGACTTCCAATAGTAAAAAAGAAGAAATGACAAAGTGGCTTTCCGAGCACAACATTTCCTACGATCCAACAATGCTAAAACCTCAACTTTACAAACTCATTCTTCAACACAAACATCGATATGTCAAATATGTCCTGGATGACATCTTGGAAAGGGAAGGCCACAGTGTACTGCGTCTGCCCCCGTATCATCCTGATTTGAACCCAATCGAGATGATATGGGCAGATGTAAAAAACTATGTTGCATCACACAACACGACCTTCAAATTGTGCGATGTGAAAAAGCTTTGTGAAGAAAAGTTTTCTTCGATATCGCAACAGGATTGGGAATGTAAGTGTAGGCACGTTAAAAATGTGGAAAATGAATACGCCGCCAAAGAGCCAGCCATCGATGAAATAACGGAAAGTTTTATCATTAATGTAGACGACAGCACCAGCGACGACGAGGGAACGAGCGACTCCGATGAATTCAGCGATATGTCTGGGATTGAGGAGTTATGATGGACCAACTCCTGATGGACCCATGGGGTTTGTGGCAGTTTAGTTCTATTAAGTTATTTCTTGTAAGAACATTTATTTGAATAGTTTTTTAATGTATGATTTAAAAGCGCAACCTAAGCACCCATGCTCCCTAGTTACATTAACAACTGTTCATAAAAAGTGTTTAGAAAGTTTAGTTTATTAATTGTTAATGGATGCAGTGCATACAACCATACAACACATCTAGCATTTTGTATGCCGTCTACTGAAGCGCCTTCAAGAGAGCAGTGAGGGCAGTAGACGCAACCCGCATGACGGCAGACAATATTTTTAACCTAGGCTAGTACAGAATTTCTATCTATCGGTCACGCGCCAGCTTAGCTGACGCTAGCTGTAGTCAGTCGGGCGCGAGGCTCAGGCTCGGTCCCGTCACCCCGCCGCCTCATCAAACGATGTTTTGCATTTGCACTCTTTTGGTCGATAATATTTTGTACGAATGAGATTCTCGTTTTTAAAACCGGATATCTGTACTTTATTGTATTATTTTCTTTCTTTCGCAAAAAGATTTACCTATTATTTAGCGTGATTGGTTTTACACCTCGCGGCGCTCTATCCTCCATCCTAAGGACGGCACTGATTAAAACAAAATAAACCAAATTAAATTTTCTCTCTCATCAACAACGTCTTCTTCTACAGTTGAGGGAGTTGAAGGGGGGGTTCTGTCAATCAGCCAAATATAGAACATTAGTCAGCTTCTCCTGTCGCCGAATTGAGTTCCAATTCTGATTTAGAAGACGATGAAGAAGAAAATCATGAAACTTGCGATGCAGCTAAACAACAACTCGGGTGCTTTATTTGTCCAAACGAAAGTGACCCAATCACAATTAAAAAAGCTTTCATGGAAATACATCCTATTCAGGTTGTAGAAGGAAAAGGTGTGAAATTGTCATTTGAGCCTTCTAAACTTTATTACACACTTGCCAAACGGTGAAAAAATACACAGAAAGTGGTTATCATATTCAATTGAACTGAATAAAGTGTACTGTTCGAGCTGTATGGCTTTTGGAGATAAAAGAACATAGAGACTCCACCTTTGTTGCTGGTTATGACGTGTCTTCAAAAAATGTGTACAAGTCAATAGAAATACTCGAAAATTCTACTCATCATGGACTTGCTGCTAAAGCAGCTTTTCAGAGTCAAAAGGGCTATGATATTGCAACTCTCCTTAATACCAAACAAACTAAACAGCAAGAAAGTGAAATTCGAACCAGAAGATTAGTTATCCAACGATTAATCGACATAGTTTTATTTATAGGAAGGCAAGGCATTGCCTACAGAGGTGACAAAACAGAGGCAGCCTACGCTCTAGATTCTTTGCAAAATCATGGCAACTTTCTTGAACTGGTTATGTTAGTGTCAGATTATGACGTTATTTTACAAAGCCACGTAACAAGCTGTATCAAAGACAGCAAAAAACACAAATTAAGAATAAATGAGAAAAAAATCCACAGGGAAGTGATTAAAAAAGCCCGTTGGACGAGGATCACTGTTAACCTTTTTGTCAAAGACTTTCATTAATAAGTTAATCAAGACGATAAGCTCGATGGGACGAAACATTATTTTGAAAGACTTCAAGGATAGCATAATCTATAGTGTGATGGTTGACAGCACCCAAGATATATCCGTGATGGACCGACTGGCAATATGTGTCCGCTATGTCGTCCAAGGGAAAGCATATGAAAGACTATTAGATATTGCCATTGTTGATGACTCAAGTGGACCTGCATTGTATGAGCTTATTAAATCTAAATTGTCAGAACATGGCATTGCAACAACAAATATAGTTGCTTGTTCATTTGATGGAGCTAACAACATGAAAGGCTGTTACAATGGGCTACAAGCCCATGAAAGACAATAAAGATCTTTATACACACTGTATGGCACACGTACTAAATCTAGTTGTAGCTGACTCAACAGTTAAGTTATTACAAGCTGAGAACTTGTTTTGGCTAGTTGAAGAATCAGCCGTTTTCCTAAGCTCATCGCACAAAAGAATGACGGTTTGGGAAAAAGAAACCAAAAGAAAACATTCCGCTCATGAAAAACTGTACAGACTCCAGAAAATAGGAGCAACGAGGTGGTGGAGCAAACATAAGGCTCTGTCGTCAATTGTTGATGAAGAATTCTTAAACAGTAATGACAGTGTAAATACTGCTAAATTCTTTAATTTTATTTCTGTTTTTAATGTAATTTCTGATGGAAATTTTGACAGCAAATCTCGGGTCACAGCAAGTAACCTGATAAGTCAATGGTCCAAATTTGAAAATCTGTTCATGTTCGTTTGTCTTACTAGATTTGTTTTTGATCACTTCCCCTGTTTCAAAGAACCTGAAATGTAAAACAATTGACTTAGCTTTGGCTTGGAAATTAGTTGATAAACTGCTCCAGCAAGTTAAGGAGAAAAGGAATGACACTTACTATGAAATGTTGTACGAAAAAAACAAAAACATATGCAAGAGCAGTCAATCTAAAGCTTCAAGAAAATGACATTAATGTCCAGTTAGAGTTGGACTTTGAAAGAAAAAGAACTTCAAAGAAAAAATTAATGCCCGGTGAAAAATCAAAAGATCAAGCTGAATTCATCTCTACAGATCAGCAATACAAAATTGTTTATTTTAATATTTTAGATTGTGCGAGAATGAGCGTAGAAGAAAGATTTAGCACAAAGATTTGTTACAGGATTGTTCTTGGTTGGACCCCAAAAAGTTTGAGTCTATCTCTAAACTAGAAACATTTCCCTTAGAAGCCTTGCTTACCATTTCTAAGTAGTGTAAAATTGAATTAAGTCGGCTGTTAATAGAGTTGCAACAATTTGCACAATACAAAAGCTCCATACCAACAGAGTCCTATAAGAAGTACGACGGAGACGGAGACGTGTAGGCCCTACACCGACGAAGACGACGAACACGATTTGGAAAGGGACCCAACCGATGAAGTGGGACTTAATGCCGATGTGAACTGTTCTAATAACGGACAATGTTATGTTATCTGTGTCTATCTTGCGCTTTTTCTGTTTTGTATGAACTAACTACTGAATCTGGACTTTTTACTAACCTGTACATTGCGTACAAATTTGTAATAACGATTCCTTGTATTCAGGTGACATGCGAAAGAGTGTTTTCCAAACTTAAGATAGTAAAAAATCGACTTCGGTCGTCTTTGAGCCAAGACCTTAGGCCAAGATTACTTTTTATGAATGTTGCGAGGGATTTGTTTTATGAATTAGATAAAGACAAAATAATAGATGCAGTTGCTTCAACAAGTGAATTGCTTACAAGGAAACTTATACTTTAAGGCAAGAGGAGTAGTAACAAAAAAAAAAAACAAAAAAACAAATAACGTCAATTAAAATAAACCACTGTCATTCTAGAGGGTAATTGTTAACAAATAAATAAACATGATTAACGATGTTAGTATTATTTTATATATCCTAAATTTGTCATTATTTTTACTACATAAAGCGCTCAGCAACTGTGAATTATTTTATCACTTATAATAAAATACATTCCTTAATTTTAAAACGTTTTCAATTATAAGCAAATTTACATTAGGCATATGCTGCAGTCTTAAAAATAATGTAAATATCTTACTTCAATTATTGATTAAGTAAAGAAAGAAAAAATAGTATAAAAATATGGCTGAATTAAGACTTCCTAATTAGTGCCAAAATAGCGTTACGTCATTTTCGAGCACCATGCTATGGAAAATAATACCCCGGTAGAGGGCGCCAAATGTTCCCAGTACGGGTCTGACTATGCCTAAGAAAGGCAGGTACCGGTAGTGTGATTTAATGGCATATTTCTTGTCACTGATGAACATTTTCAGATTAATAAATTAAGGTGGTACAAGTAATGTGGAGTTAAACATTTACGAGGCCAACCAAACAAACAACAACGGAAGGGGGTCGTAGCAACTACATCAGGTTGTGTACGACAATCTTTCTCGATCTTTATTTGCTTGTTTAGAGTTAAGTTTTTTGAGTTACAGAGAATTTTCGAATTAACATAAATATTACCCGGGTTCTCTGGTTTGCAATCCAAGGTAGATACATATTTTTTTTGTAAAAGAAATTTACAAATAAATTATGCAAGGTAAATTATAATTTTTTTTTGTATTTAGCACAACGGATTAATTAAATTCTATAATTTCTCTTTGTCTTATAAAACTTTAAATGACCAACGAAAAAGCGTAATTTGAGATCTTCTCTTGTAGCAAGCATCCTCTAAAACAAGGCCACGTCTTTGGTGCGTGGCAACGTCGCACCGGCTGGCCTATTGCATGGCAATAAAAGAAAAAAAAAAAACGAGTGTAATCATAAGCATTGTGAAGATGCTCTATTTGAATAAGCTGTTTAGGTATACCGGGACTGCGGCGTTGCCACTTTTGCCTCACCGAGGCCTTGTAGTAGAGGAGACTTTGCTTGTAGGTATGTCTTCTGACCTGACAAATTGTCCTTTCTGATGGAGTATAGATTCTAAGGTTATTTTAAAGGTAAGAAAAGTTATAAAAACCACAATTTAAAAAGCAAGCTTTTTACACTTTAGCTATGTATTGCAATACGATTTAACCTTTACACACAAACGAAAAACTTATACTACCGAAGAACTGCCTTCTTCCATAGATTTCTCTTGCACACAGTTCAAGGAAGCAGTAAAGGAATACGTAAAGGAAGGCTTTTCGATGTCAATATTTAGCTTGGACGTTGACGACTTCTCTAACCCTGCTGCGTCCGTCCCGTGCATCACAAACTGGAAGTCTATTGGCTCTAATAGACAAATCTGTCTAAGAGACGTCACATCAGCACCATCAGCACACTGAATCTTCAGCTCAATTTGACTCAGAGATATACTATAATTCCATCCATCCTCTCTAACTGTAAACATACTGTCTTGACTGATATACTCTCTCAGTATACTCTGTAAATTAAGTTTGACAAGAGTCAGAACAATGAGAGCCTCTGG